TACAGCTTTGTGCTTAATTACAAACAATCAATCAACCTTCGGGTAAAAATTAGAACTAATTGAAACTGACTAATTTCAATTAACAAGTATATAAAAAGGGTTTGTTTGTTTGTAGTTATGCACAAAGCTACACAATGGGCTATCTGTGCTCTGCCCACCACAGATATCGAAACCCGGTTTCTAGCGTTGTAAGTCCGCAGACATACCGCTGTACCACTGGGGGGCATATAAAAAAAGGGAATTTTGAAGAACCAAATTATAAATCTTATCAAATCATTGGTGTGTGTCTCAAAATGCTTTGAAATTGTTCCTAAACCTATTTAATTAAAATACAAGTTTACATTTGGTAAATACTTGATGTAAACCTATGACTGAAACATTGCTGACAAATGTTGTTTTTGTTTGATAGACGGATGGCTTCCTACATGTGATTTTTTATTTATTTTGTTTAATTTAAGTTGTCAAAAGTAGTATTGGATGAAGAACAGACCTGTTTGACCCAATATGGAGGAATTACTTCTGACTGCAGGTGGCTGAGACATATTGAATGCCCAACTATTAATAACTTATCTGGAGTAATCTTATTTATATCAAGTTCCGTGGATTATCGATTAATAAATAACAATTTAAATAACAGCTTACTGTGAATAATGTTAACAGCCACACAATCTCGTTGTTTGGATCCATCTCACAATAAGCCCCATGCACTCTGGTGGTAGAACAAGTTCAAACAGGACGCAGTTTAGTTCTTGCATAATAATGATGTAAGTTTTGCAATGACAGCAACTATAGCTCTAAGGGTAAAACCCTTTGGTGATGGGTCCTCTTTGACTCATTCGAATTCAAAACATAACCATTGACCCACAAAAAGACTTTGACTGTCTGATCGAGCCACCACATCAAGACCTATTATCTTGGTTTTGTCATCCAACTTTTGTTTTCTTTAATGTTAGTTCAAAAGCAGAGTTACTAATGGCATACAGATATCACCAAAGTACAAAACAACTGATAACACAGTAGCATTTATGATGCTTTCATTCATACTATCAAATTTTGGATCTACGCACATTTAATCTAGTGTATTCGTTTTTTAATATCGTTTTATTTTTATTTATTTTTAATAGTTATAAGTAAATTTATCTTATTTTTATCTTGTTTTCTGTTGTTAAACACAAAGGGCTATCTGTGCTGTAGCCACTGCAGGGTCGAATCCCGAATTTTAGAGTTATAGGCTCTCAAGTTTCCCACTAAGAGGGGTGAGGGGTATTCTTCTGAGTTACAATTGTACACACACACATAACCTAGTATATTTTGAGTCACCCATAAGTATTTGTATTTCTGTTGTACTCAGTGCTAATTTCTGCCAGGTCTCTCCTGATCCAAGATCTGGAACATGTTTTGATTTTTTTAATCTAAAGACAGAAACATTAATTAATTTTCACACTACTACAGCTGCATTGCATACCTATACTTAACTGATATAGTAAACTACATTGCTCCATATCCCAAATAACATAGCCTCAATAAAGATCTTCTAATTCAAATTCACCACTTCATATCACTCAACAAGAGATAAGGTGTCTTTAATTTCTTCTCAAAAGTAAGCACAATTTTACTTATTGCTTTGATATTGCATCATAATACATCAAATTTTCCAATCATTAAACGATCTTTTTGCTTCAACAGCTTACAACACATGTTAATTTTGTTTGGTTTGCGTGATAGATTCGTGAATGGTGTCGTGTCTACGTTTTGAATGGAATATTAATATTTTTTTAGATATTCTTCACTACGTTCTTATTTAATACTTGAAAAAAAACTGCTTGTATACCACCCACTTAGCTTCTCTCAATCATAATATGTAAACTTCCTTCAATGAAAACCCAAGCGTTAGCAGAAATACAAACTTTTTCTACTTTGCTTTATTCAAATAGCTTTTCAAATAAATGTTTCAATTTCCTAACACAATGTCACTGTGTTTTAATGTTACTTCATAGATTTGCTGATGATGGAATATGTATAATTCCGAAACTTTACAACAGTTTACAACTGTTGCCGTAGTTCTACTTTTTATTATCAGACTTCGTTTTCCATCGTTCGAGCTTAGCCACTCGTTAAAACTAATGGTTGTTTTTATGAGAAAAATTGCCAGAAAATCTCACAGCAACCTCATTTGATCACACACCTGTTATGAATCCGTAATGTAGCTCCAATGAAATTTTTGTGCCTTTTAGTCTACTTAAGTTTGGACTTCTAAGGTGACTCTACATGAAGTGGAGGATCTGTGAAATGTTATCAAACTGTCTAACATTGGTGTTACACTCCTCCGCAGAAGCTTGTTACAATGAATATTTCAGTGTCAGATTTTTGTGCGTAGTCATTGCCATTTGTCTGACTACGGTTGACAATGGAAGTAGTTCTAAGATCAGCACGAGATCTGAAACATCGTTTCTATTGACTGTCGTTAATCTTCAGCAAATCTCCACCGTTAAAAATACGTACACTAAATTGATATGTTTGCAAATGCTACAATTGCTTAATTAAATGCTATTTGTTATCGTTGATTATATTTTACAAAAACTGTTCTCAATAATTCTATTTTTATTTTTCATATGTAGAGGAACGTCTTAACTCTTTACATGAGCTAGAAGGCCCAGGTGGAAAAACTAATTATTTCAAAACCTCGTTATCACCAGGATTTGTGCAAGATGATCACACCCCCTTTGTTGAGAGAGGTAAGTTATGTAAATTTTCTGGGTGTTTGAAGAATGTCCGTTGAACTTAAATGACTAATGGCCACATATTTTACTACTCATAAAAATATGTAAATTACACTCACGACTCTTCTAGTACTGGGAAGATCTAATAACGGCCTTACTCTAAACTATGCTTATGAGCTTTGGTGGATTTGCACAATCCTTATGAAGATCCAATTAACATCCCAAAGAATTATCCAAACAAGTTCGCCGAAACATACAATACTGATGTTTATACTAAGAGGAGCGCCTGAGCTTTGATTTGGCGCTATAAAAACACAATATTATATCTTTTAATTCTCCTTTTACTAGCTGAATTAACTTAAATGTAGTCATTCGACTGCATGAGAAGTTCACAAATTAGAATTGGTTAGGATAACCGTTATGCAACCAGTCAGTGCGATAATACTACATGGAAAGAACCAATTAGTATAATTGCTGATATTGTTGAAATAACTGAATACTTTTTGTTAGCAATAATTTGATTATGATTAGGATAAAATATATAATTTGTTAAAACAATACTAACTTTTTTTACAATGTTTGTCAGGAGCGCGAGGCAGTTCTGTGATTAGAACATCCCTTTCGATCTCAGGTGACCCATACGTTAATATGTGTTTTAAATGTTTCTTTGGTGACCCATAAGTCAATATGTGTTTTAAATGTTTCTTTGGTGACCCATAAGTTAATATGTGTTTTAAATGTTTCTTTGGTGACCCATACGTTAATATGTGTTTTAAATGTTTCTTTGGTGACCCATAAGTTAATATGTGTTTTAAATGTTTCTTTGGTGACCCATAACTTAATATGTGTTTTAAATGTTTCTTTGGTGACCCATAAGTTAATATGTGTTTTAAATGTTTAGATGTCAAATAAATCTCGCTCTAATTAAATAAAAAAATATAATGTTAAGATTATAATAAGTATTTCTGAACAATTATTAAAATAATAAGATTTAATGAGTACTGTGCATGGTATTACATTAATTTTACACTACAGTTTAACTGATAACAATTCTATCTCCTCATTCTTTATCGGTCTTTCTGCCCCCCCCCCTCTTCTCCTTCAGTAACTTAACTGTAAGTTTAAGATTTGGTTTTACAATTTTGTTAACAAGCCCTTTCATCTTATGCCTGCTTTCTTTTTCCTTTTCTCAATCTATCCTCCAAAGAAGATGATATAAAAAAAAATCAATCAAAATATGTATGAGACACGTTGCACTAGGAAATAACGAAAAACAAACGTGTTAATTGCATATCACTAAGCACGATAGTGTTTAGTATGTAGGGATGGGCCTGGAAAAATGGCCGCCGCATATTATGTATTGCTCATCATAGTCTCAGATATCCCTTATAACGATCTAAGATAGTTTTATAAACACCTAACTTAGGTTTTCGAAAGCTATTAAAAAGTAGAGAACCGGTGAGTAGCGTAACAGCCAAATATTCTGCTGATTATTCTGATTCTGACGTCAGAAGGGCTAGCTCACCAAAACTTGAAGTCGTTGCAATAATCTGCATACCAAAACGTCGCATTTTAACTTGGAGAATACAGAACCAGTAAAGCATTTCACTAACTTCAACACATGATGTCCATCAAGGCAACTCATCATGGCAGACTAAAACTGCTGCCTTCATAGCGACTGCCATTCATTATAAAATATTCATTGGTATTGTTTAAAAAAAAAGGAAAAATAAGTAAGAAAATTGAAAAAATAAGTATGATATAAGGATTTCAATGCCAAAAAAGTACAAAAACAAGGTAGAGATAAATACACAAAATCATACACAAATCCCTACATAAGTAGCCACTGAGTCAATGTTACAAACCTATGTAAATTAGCCATTGTAAGACTATATAGCATTATTCAGTCTAAATACTTTTATTTAAACCTGAATTCATGCAAATGAAGGAATTCAACATTTAATTATGGATAAAAAAAATCTTGGAAAGATTTGGCAACTTTTGTAGGGATTTGTGTGTGGTTCATATACCCATCCCAACGTTGTTTCTGTATTTTTTGAGATTTCCATCCATCATCCTTATTTTTTCAACATTGTTTATTACTTGTTTAATATATAACCACAAGAAATGATATATCCATTAACATTCTCCATTACAAAATTTTCCTCACCTTAGTTGAAAACTTATGATAGAAACTATATCTCTTACCATCCAAATTCACTTTACGTTTTCTCGTTACCTTAAACGTTATGAAGATGACTTTATGTTTAAGTGTTACCTTGAAGGTTCTAAAGATGACCTTACGTTTTAGTGTTATCTTGAACATTATTATGACCTTACGTTTTATCGTTACCTTGAACGTTATAAAGATAACACGTTCTAAAGATGACCTTACGTTTTAGTGTTATCTTGGACATTCTTATGACCTTACGTTTTATCGTTACCTTGAACGTTATAAAGATAACACGTTCTAAAGATGACCTTACGTTTTATCGTTACCTTGAACGTTATAAAGATAACACGTTCTAAAGATGACCTTACGTTTTAGTGTTATCTTGAACATTCTTATGACCTTACGTTTTATCGTTACCTTGAACGTTATAAAGATAACACGTTCTAAAGATGACCTTACGTTTTAGTGTTATCTTGAACATTATTATGACGTTACGTTTTATCGTTACCTTGAACGTTATAAAGATGACACGTTCTAAAGATGACCTTACGTTTTAGTGTTATCTTGAACATTTTTATGACCTTACGTTTTATCGTTACCTTGAACGTTATAAATATGACCTTATGTTTTAGCATTACCTTGAACGTTCTGAAGACGGTCTTACGTTTTAGCATTACTTTGAACGTTTTGAAGATGATCTTACGTTTTATGGTTACCTTGAACGTTCTAGAGATGGCCTTACGTTTTAGTGTTACCTTGAACGTTCTTAAGATGACCTTATGTTTTATCGTTATCTTGAACATTCTTAAGAAGCTTTTCTATCACACACATATAGGCAAACCCGAGTTCCTCACGGTATTCTTAATGATATTATTAACCCTAAGACTAATAAATAAAAGGTGTTAGAAATGCAACATTCATCATTACATAAGTGTTAGTTACTTTCTGTGGCAACACAATTTGAGGTGCTCATTCTAAACAAGTTGCCAGTTAGCTGTAGCTACAGTGATACCTCATCCACCATTCAATCACGCCCATTACTGCCATCTGTCATTGTGATAGAGCTAACGCTTACTTGGTTCACTCTCTCTCAATTATGGACAGACGATTGTGAAACTACCACTTATCACCAGTGTGGAGTATGAAGGAAAAGTAATTGAAACTAGCAATTTAGGAACAATTACTTCAGAAACACTGCATCCACATACAAACACATGTTTACAAAGCACCTGAGATTGCTGGTCTTGCAATCTTAATAAAGGACAGTAGCAAGATTTCAGCTAACTACTGGTAGATTTTGCCAATGTTTGTCATACAAAATGGTACTGGGAGAAGACAAACTTAGCTCATTACCACATAGAAACAAGTGATGCTTTGAACCAAGCAAGTGAGAGCATCAGGGCTGTGTATGCTCTATGATGGAATAACCCAACCATTATAGAGTGATTGCTCTTTACCATTAGTGATTGTGGAGAAGCAAAAGAGGACGCTAAGGTACTTTGTTGATTTTATGTGGATGAATGTGATTACTTGGGTCAATGCATGTTTTATTTCATGCACAGATGGATGCCTGGGTGTGTTACAAGCATTAATTGATTCATTGCATTAGATGTTTAATCCAGTTACTGGCAAGCAAGATGGTCAATGAAGGCAGATCTAAAACTGCTTTGAGCACTCGAGATGAGCAGTATGAAGTTTGCATCATGCATTTCATTCAACCTGTGTGATAATATATCAGCCACCTTGATAAAGCTGAAAGATTCATATTGGATGGTTTACAATTGAACATGTGTTTAATTGATGTATATGGCATACAGAATAGTGTTTCAGTGTATAAGAAATGCGGACTTTGTTTATTTAAACAAAAAATTTGTCTATCATTATAACCTATGTACTATAGAATGGTCGCATCAACGATTGAAAGCTTGTACCTGTCTAAAGAAATATTCTTCCTCAAAACCTACTGTTGCGTCATCGAGATCATGTGATTCTCACGCTCTCTACTTTCTAGAACTTATCCTGTACTTTGGCGAATGCTCTAGTATTTACTAGATATAGGGTAGTCGGGTATATAAAAGAGGGGGACAACGTGACGCGGTAATGTGTGTATAGACAGTGAGTAATTGAACTGCAGTCAGAGAGCACGAGAGACGTTACAGCGTTTTTTTAGCGCGATTGTTGAAGTTGAGTGTATCGGTAAAGTTATATTCGGAAATAATAAACCAGTTTTATTAAGAAAGGACTTGTGTCGCTTAAGTTTCGTCGGAACGAAGTTACGGAAAATCAATTAACAAACGGAGACGTAACAAATTGGTGTCAGAAGTGGGATAGAAAAAAAAAGAGAAGAAGATGGAAACGAGAGGCGGAAAATCAAACTACAGCTCAGCAGATTTGATGGCAGCAATACAAAAACAAGAAAAGAAACAAGAAGAGAGACAACAGCAGTTGCAAGAAAACCTGCAACAATGGCAGCTCGAACAGCAAAATAAACAAGAAGAGAAATTACAGCAGTTGTTGGAGGAGAAAGAAAATAAACAAGAAGAACGAGAAAAGAAACAAGAAGAGAGACTACAGCAGTGGCAACTGGAACAAGAAAGGAAACAAGAAGTACAAATGGAAAACATCAGTAAATTTAAAAGCAAACTAGATACGTTAAAGGACGATCTATTGTCTTTAACACAAGGAGGATACATTGACCATCGATGTAATCAGCCCCAGACAATGGTAAGCCCCTTACAGAGCCCACAGCTAAACCTTA